TAGTGAATACAATGAAATACATGGAATACAACGAGATACATTGAATTACAATGAAAAGAAAAGACAATGAAAACTAGATGTTTTAGCTGTCGGAGGGTTCTCGATCTACGAGCAAGGAAGGCTCTGAAGTGCGTTTGAATAGTACGCGATGCAGCATCGCGTAGGGACTGACAAGAACGATGAGAACTAGAAGAGATACGGCGGAGGGAAGATTCTAGGGCGGCGATCCGACGGAGAAGAGCAGTTAGGGAGTATGCTTGTTCCCTCGTCATTGCCTCCAAAACTTTCAGAGACAGTCCTACCTCACTTTCCCTTCAAAACCATTTCCTTCTTCGCTTTCTTCTCTTCGTCAACATCACTCCTCAGAGCATCCGTTCCTTCCTCTTTCGCTCATCTTCTCAAACAATGTAAGTCTTGTATCAAAGCCAAACTCGTTGTTACAGGTGTCTTTTCACCTTCAGCAGACCCTACATTGAATGGCATGTATCAAAATAGAGAGAAATAAAAGTGTAACGGAATAGCGTATTTAGTGGCTTAGAGGTAGGAGGTAACCAAAATTAGATATTTTGCTATAAACATTAAAAGGTATCTATAAAATATATTTTTTTATAAATGATATTTATTTAAAATAAATAATGTGTTAACCTTTACTACAGGAGGTAAAAATTCCTTATTTCTTTTTGTGTTTTGAATTTAAATTACATATACTGATAATATGAATAATGTCACACCTCCTTTCTCCCGAGGGGATAGGGAGTTTTTCCAATTTAAGTGACATAAATTGAAATGAAATTATTTTATTAATACAGAATCGCCACTTGAAATAATTTATAGTGTCCCAAGTCACCGATTTGTTAAACTCAATTTAAGTGACATAAATTGAAATGAAATTATTTTATTAATACAGAATCGCCAATTGAAATAATTTATAGTATCCCAAGTCACCGGTTTATTTTAAATCTCAAATCGAGTAAAGTGACTCTATTTTTACGGTCCAAGAATGCAGAAGACCGGGTAAGGAATTCTATTAACCCAGGAGCAGGTGTGAGGCACTCACGGTCACTCAACTATTAATAATTGGCCTAATTATCTGACTTATTACATGTTTTAAACCTATTATGCATTTTTAACTTTTATAATCGCTTTTATTTATTTATGAAATTATTTCTAAAACAAGTTACGATGGCGTACTCTTGTCGTTTGGTGCACATTACAAACCACACCGCATGAAATGCACTCGTAATTTACAATATGTTTATTTTATTATTATTATTTGAAGTTATGGTCGGGTTACATGAAATGCGCACCCGAATTGGGGATTATGTATCATGACTATGCCACGGGAACCGTACCCATAGTCACGATGATTCAATATTCGTGCGCCCAAAGCAACTAGCTTATTTGAATTATTTTTTGAACTACATTTGAAATGCATTGTGAGGCCAATAGAAATATGGAAGTCATTTGTGGGTATGTGTAAGATTGGACTGTTGCAATTATGGAATAAATATTTACAATAGGTTAGCGTTCACGCCCAATTCCTCTTGAAGCTAATCAACCCCAAACCAATCCAAACATATACCAATCAACTCCCAAAATCCAAATAGCTAAACCCAAACTTACTGCCATATTAAACCAATATACTAATCTAACAATGGTATCAAACAGACCACTTAATCCATAGCAGCAAAAGATTAATATGAATTTATCCAAAAGATTTCAATGAAGCTCATAAAGGAAGTACATATAGTCAAGAAAACCGATAAATAAATTAAGACGATGAACAGAGACGAAATAACACCGAGGAGCAGCAACAACTGACTAGAATCATTCACTATGCTAGCAAGATCAAATTGAGATAACATAAGTGAACGAAATTTCAGCTATTTTTATGACCATCTACAGAGGAAGAGAAGCTGGTTTATGGGTAGCGAAACTGTTGTATTTCAGTGGCGTTTTGAGGCTATTTTGCAGCTTGCTTCAGCTGCGTTTCGGGGGTGTTTTGCAGCTTGATTTCAAGCTATTTTTGGGACTGAAGTTCGAGGCATTATTTGGGGGTATTCATAGCTGGTATTTGGATGAAGAAAGAGGCTGAGTTTGGACTAATTTGCTCAACATAACATTGGTACCAACTTAACAGTAGATAATACAAAGCCTAACAGGAAAGTTTCATTCATCCATGGCCTATTTAGAGTAAAACAAGTAAGAGATAGACTCCTTATCTTTTCATGTAGCTCATAAACTTACTGTAAAAATGTTCATTTCCACAGACAACTACATAAGAGTCTCGACCGACCTAGTATTGACTTATTATATACAAGTTTTGGTTTTCCCATGACCGCTAGACGGAAGTTTGCTACTAAATATTCAATTATTATTAGGAATATTAATGTATAAAGATTTCTATTTAAGAGAACCAGCTAAGCTAGCTGTCCTCTTGTCGGGGGCCAGCAACCCCAAAGATTTGGGACCAAAAGCGGTTAGCGGTGACTACTGAATAAGTTTCTTTGGCTTTGTAACCGAAGTGAGCCGAGGAGCCGAGTGACATGCCAGCGCTACTAATTGAGTGCCAGCACCTAGCTGTGCTGTCAGTAAGAAGGTAGCCGGCGCCTTTCGAAGCACTTTCTATTTCTAGATAGAAAGGGCCTTTCTCGCTTGTTTAGCAAAGCCATGTTTTTGGCCTTATCTTGCAGGTGACGACGACGTCGAGTTGATGACACAGAAAGACTCGGCATTCATGCCAGGGAATCACAAGTGACTACTGTTGCAAGTCGAACAATTTAACTTCTAAGACTAACTCTTTACTACATACTTCTATCAATTGTATGAAACAGACACAAAATCATTTTGCTTCAAAATCCCACAATTGAGATATAATAATCAATGACTAATTTCAGCTCAAGTAATCAGTTAAAATAATCAGTCGAAGAAATAGCTAAAATAGAAACGACAAGGCAAATCCGGTGATGAATTCATGAGAAACCAGCCATAACAAAACATCTAGCAAAACTACACTTAAACAGAGAATAATTCTAGTTTTAGCATTCAAGCCAAAGTGAGCGACAAACTAAAATAGATGAAAATATATTCGGATTTAGTGGCGCATCTTCGAAATCAATCAGGAAATATGGCTTGAGTAACTCAAATCTTCATTCATAGATTTAAAGTGAAAAATAGATGAATATCTACATACCTAAACGCAGTAAAACTGTGCTAAACGACCAAACAAGAGTTGGAAATAGGAGCCAAACTTCAAGCTTTCAGCAGAGGATAACAACAACACAGTTTCTTCAGCAAAACCAGAAAAAATCGACACCAAATGCTAGCGAAATGTGCTTCTCCGTTCTCTGAATGTGTATGTGTCTACAGATGCGTGTTCTAGAAGAGAGAGGTGGATCGGCTAAGAGAAGTGAAGAAGAAGAAGAAGAAGAAGAAGAAGAAGGGAGGGGGTGCGCCGTTTCTTAGCTGAAAATTTGATTTCCAAAAAATGGGGAGTCTTCTGATTGTGATTAGGTCTAGCCTTTTGCAAAGTGAGGTGAGATGGGTGTTTTAAGAGAAGGGCATGGGTCAGATCAGGGTTTTTAAAAGGAAATTGGGCTGGGGTTTGGTTTGGGCTGAACGGAGATGGGCTCAGACTGGCCCAAGTTGAGCTAATGAAGCTCAAAAGACCAATGCTTCTTTTTCTTTTAGATTTCATTTTTAGCCATTAATTAAACTATCATAATGTATTAACTAAAAATTGTAAAATTAAAACCCTTTACTACTTTATCTAGCAATTAGTTAATTAACTTAACAATGTGAAATAATGAAAGGAAATTACTAATTTAAAACCAAAAGCTAAAAAATGTAAAATAAAAAAAGACTTGTATTTTTTGTGATTTTCGTTTGATAATGCAATTAATATGAGACTAAATGCTACAATGCAATTAAAGTCTAAAATATAAAATATGTCGAATTAAATATTTTTTATGATTTTCTATAGTTTAAAACAACTCTAAATATGCATGAACAATGCAAATAAATGCAAGAAAAATTCCTGAAATTCTATAAGAGCGATTAAAATTAAATATTTTTTTTGACTTTTTCAAGAGTAATTTTTTGTGTGGGCAAAAATTAGGTGCTCATAAATAATACTTACACTATTTATTGAAATTCATCCATCATAATCTTTTCTAAGTTATCAATTATTCTTTTCATTTTATTTTATGAAATCTTCATAGACAGGGTGCGAATTTAAAAAAAATTAAAAAACTACTGTGTTAAACGTGTCAATATTTATTCGACTTTAAAAGCTTGTCATAACGAATAAAGAATTACATTAAATTATTTACAAAATTGGCAAAATTATCATTTTTTTAAAACAGACAAAAAAAAAAGAATAGAGACGGCAACATTATGGTATAAATTATTTGTAATTTCTTTTTGAGGGCCGATTACGTAAATATTCAATTTATAAAACTTACAGTTGAAAAAGAATAACTTAAATGATATACTCTTGTGTTTTCTTTTTAATTTATTTTATTTGAAGCCTGCCGCTTATAGAAAAAAAAATCTTTTATTTTATTTTAAGTGACACATTTACTATATAGAGAATCAAAATTTTTTATTTCATTATATTTTAGATATCTTAAATTGCTAGTTATTGTAATTTATAATATATTTTATTACTTTTTAACTATATAAATTTTATTTTTGAAAAATATACAATTTTATATTTATATTCACACAAAAATTAGTCTATTTGACATTGACATTGGTACTCACTGGAACGGAGGGAGCCGTAAACATTTTGGACTCAAACAGCAACGTGACCTAATATCAACCGCGTCTATCACCCGTGCATAAAAGATGATCTAATTGTAAAAGTTGACAACTAATGCAACGTGTCAACTGATCAACAATCAGAACCTGCCTACTTTCCACGTTAAATCAACGTGGCGCCACTTCGTTCTCCCTCCCAACGCCAATAAAAAGCCTACAAAATGCTCTCTTTTTCTTCATTTTTGCTAACAAACAGATCGAATAGAAAGCAATTCGTGAAAACAGCTAAAGGCTAAAGCAAGCTTACTAGAGGAGGAAAAAAATGCAGGGAGCTAAGGAGAAAGCAGCTAATGCAGCAGCCTCAGCAAAATCTGGCATGGGGAAAACCAAGGCTACCATTGAAGAAAAGGTATCATCTCTGCGTTAAATATATAGTACGCATTGCCTTCGAGTAGTTTTAATATCGTACTTCCTCCCTGAACTTATTATTATTTGGTGGAGTCAAACAAGAGTTTTTTTTATTATGATTTATTTTACTTTTTATGTACTTTATCTGGTTTAATTTAGATGATGTAATTTGGTTTGACACAAAGTTTAAGGAAAAAGAAAAGGTCATATGTAATTTTAAGCTTAAGGCTCAAAAATTTTGAGCTGTTAAGGAAAGTTTGTCATTCAAGGGAGGGAGTAGTTTTTAAAAATGTAAAAAAAAAAAAAAAAATCAAAATTCTATGTTAAATTTATATAAAAAATTAAGTTACACTCTACTTGCACGACAAACAATTGGATTATACTTTTCCTAAAATTAATAAAGTGAAGGTTTACCTTTAATATGAATGCAAACTCCGATACGTACGACAATCGAAATGTTGGTAAAAAATTGGCTGTAATAACCATTTCTAGTTTGTAACATATTTAACAGGCAGAGAGAATGACAACTAGGGACCCGTTGAAGAAGGAGATGGCAACAGAGAAGAAAGATGAGAGGAAAACTGCTGCTGAGCTGAGCAAGAGAGAAGCCAATGATCAAAATGCAGCTGCAAGGTATGCACCCTATCTTCAGCATTAACACACACAAATAGAATTACCTTTTGTTAAATTTAGAGACATTCTAATAAAAATAAAGTAATTTATTTTTAACTAAACGCTTTTATAGTCACACAATGAGAAATGATATAAATATTTAATTAATTAAATTTGAATTCTGATTTCTGTTATTCCATAGGGATGGTGGAGCTCTGGGCTACACTACAACCGGGGCGCCAGAGTACTCAACGACTGCGTATGATCCAACAGAAGACGTGACTGGAGGTGGAGGGCCAGTGCGCTCCGGCCATCCGACTTCGGCGGGAACTATACAAGATTCCAGTTTTCCTTGTTGAGCTAGCAACTCTTAAGAAGAATAAATGTATTGGTTTAATTAATAGGATGAGAAGCAGCTATTTATACTCTTTGGTTTATGTGAATTAAAGGGTTGTATGAATGACACTTATTGTATTTGGATGTTTGGTGTTAGTTGAGTTTTTGTTTAAGGTGAAATAGTCTTAAAATGGGGAATGGGGAATGGGGAATGGGGAATGGGGAATGGGGAATTTTTTTAATTAAATTTATTTGTTAATAGTGAATATTAACGTGATATAATCCGTATTTGTAACGGATGTTTTTCAATTCGTGTATTGTGTTGCAACACTAAGCAATAAGCAGCCTAGTGCACTTCCCACAATGGTGCAAGTGTTCTGCCCATCAAGCAAGTGTACATTCCACCATGTAAGTGCTTCCTTCATGATAGTCTAGTGCTTGTTGCACCATGGAGGGGGCGGATTTCTCTCAAATAACTGCTATAAATAGAGCATATGCTATAAATAGAGCATAAGTTGGAGAGAAAGAAGAACACATCGGAAAAAATACTCGAAACACTCTGTATACACTTAATATACACTCTGTATACAGTTAATATACACTTTGTATATACTGGATATATATTCTGTATACACTGCGTATACACTGGAAAAGCGAATTGCAATCTGATATTCTCTTCAGTAAGAATTCAACATTGGTTATACTTTGCATTCCTTCCTCTCAGAATTTCCATTCGACTTCTGAGTTGTCCTCCTTATTCTGCATTGTTTTTAACTACAAACAAAGCATCCATAAGTATGATTTGCTGCCGAACTTTGTGTTCGCTGAAACACTGGGGTTTGAAGTACCGCTACACCAGTGTGTAATTCGTTTTATCCTGGGAGGAAATAATCTATAACCTTGGGTACTAGGAGGGGATTAAATTCCTTAAGGAAACACTGTGAATTCAGTGGCCTCGAATTATTTACTGTCGCATTTAAATTTACGTTTATAAGCTAACGTTTTATTTTTTCCAGAATTATTATTTACAAATACAGGATAACCACGGATCCAACAAGCTTAAGGAATTTAATAACTTTTATTTCTGTATTTGTGTTATTCTTAATATTCTGGAAACTAAAACCTTTGTGGTTTTTGTGTACTCCCATTTGGAGAGTAAAGCCTTCGTGGCGGTTTGTTGGAAATTAAAATCTACGTGATATTTTTCCCTCCAAATTTAAAACGTTTTCTAAACGTTTGTTTGTGTCATTTTTAACAGATAAAAATGGCGAATGACGGAAATCAAGTTGTTCCGATGATANATGTTGAAAGTAAAATTTTTAGTAATTTTACTAACGGAATTTTCATTGAAGGTCTTGTCATCAGTGAGGCATTCCAAGTAGCAGCAATAATTGAGAAGTTGCCTCCATTGTGGAAGGACTTTAAAAACTATTTGAAACACAAACGAAAGGAGATGTCCCTTGAAGATCTCATTGTTCGATTGAGAATCGAAGAGGATAATAAAGCTGCTAAAAGGAGAGGCCGTTGAAATTCAACAATAATGGGAGCAAATATTGTTGAAAATAACAAAAAGAGAAAGAAGGCTTCTGGTCCGAAATACAACCCAAGCAAGAAGCGGTTCAGTGAAAACTGCTACAACTGTGAGAAAACCGAACACAAATCTACGGAGTGACGTGCTCGGAAGAAAGACAAGCAAAGGGGTCAAACAAACATGGTAGAAAAACATGATGATGTTGATGACTTGTGCGTCATGCTTTCTGAATGCAACCTGGTAGGAAACCCAAAGGAGTTGTGGATTGATTCTGGAGCCACTCGCCATGTTTGTACTGTGAGGGAAGCATTTTCTACATATGCTTCTGCTGGACCCGAAGAGACGCTCTCTATGGGAAATGCTGCTATAGCAAACATTGAAGAATACGGTAAGATATTTCTCAAGATAACTTCTGGCAAGGTCATGACTTTGAACAACGTCCTTCATGTTCCCGAGATTAGGAAGAACTTAGTCTCTACTGGACTTTTTATAAAGCACGATTTCAAGTGCGTTTTTGTATCTGACAAGGTAATGATTAGTAAGAATGAAATGTTTGTAGGAAAAGGTTACCTTACTGAAGGCCTTTTCAAGCTGAATGTAATAGTTGTTGAAACTAATAATAAAACTTCAGCTTCTTCTTACTTACTTGAGTCAAATGATTTATGGCATGTACGTTTAGGTCATGTCAATTATAAAACCTTGCGAAAAATGAT